TAACTAATAACTCCTTGGGACACCCGTAACATTATTCAGACTGATAAACGATCTATAATAATTTCAAATTCAATAATAGTCCCTTACTTCATGAATCGCATCATTATTAATTCGGTAAATTACATTTAATATCATATAGGCCTAGTTCCACCATCTCTCGCTATGAGCAGGAAGCGCTCTCTTCCCTCCCACGACCTTGAACGCTCAGTGTTGCCAATGGCGGGGCATTCGAAATTACTCTGAAATTTCTGAATATTACATATATATATATATATATATATATATATATATATATATATATATATATATATATATATATATATATATATATATATATATCGTGTACATTTATTAGTTCTTTTACTCAGAAATATACATTTATTTTAATAATAAAATTTTATTCTTCGATGACGCCCACATGTTTGAATATGTAACATAAAATAAGGTATTAAATAAAACAGCCATATTAATATATTACAATAATATTTATTAAAATTTGAATGTAGAATAAAGCTTATTTTGATTTGTAGAGTTTATGAAGAATGGGCGTAGAATGTTTCTAGATAAAACGTGGCCTTATGGTGACTAACTGGCAACTAAAAGCCCACGTTACTTGCCAAAGGTCACTAGAGGACTACAATTCGGCAACGCTGCTCCAGAGGCTTAGTGTTAAAACTTCTTCTGGAGACTTTTTGCTTTTGCGGTTTTGTGGAAACGTAAAGGGTGAGTGCTTCGATCTGACGAGCCAATGAACAGAGTGTGCAGTGGTCTGACCCTCGCATGGCTTGCATGGCTCGGGTGATAAGTTCATCTCGGCGAGCTTTCTATGACAATGATATAGTCAATGAGATGGGTGTTGCCACGAACCCTTGAATTTGTCAGCCTGCCTAAACAAGGTATTGGTGATAATGAGGTTGTGTGCAGCACACTTGCTGAGGAGGAATAGGCCGTTCGGATTACACTTGGCTGGTTTGATCTCTATGATTCCCTGCCAAATGTCAGCATCTCTGCCAACTCTGTCACTGAAGTCACCTAGGAGCACAACCTTATCTTCTCTGTGGATAGAGGTCAGCACTCTGTCAAAGTCGGCGTAAAAGACCTTGATGTCATCCTCTGCATCTAGTGTTGGGGCGTATGCACTAATGAAAAAGGCATGATGGGAGTGATTCACTGGGACTCTGAGTGTCATGAGGTGCTCGTTGATCCCAACAGGCATTTCATTTAGCCTGTGTACGATGCGTTGGCGGATGGCAAAGCCAACTTCATAAATGCGGCTTCTCTCCACAGCAGGCTTACACTTTCAAAAGAAGGTATAGCCAGACCCCTGTTCTGTGAGTCGACCCTCATCTGGGAGCCGGGACTCACTAATGGCTGTTATGTCGATGTTATTCCACAGGGGCGGGGTTTTTTTTCAGAATGCTCATTTGTACCAGTACCCAGAAGGGTACTGATATTCCATGCAGCAAGCATAAGAGGTTGTATAGTTCGTGTTTGTTTTGATCTGTAATTATGAATGAGTTTTCGACGGCATAAGGATGACCTTACTGGGTGTACAGTAGTTGCCCAGTCAGGTTGGTTCTTCAGGCAGGCTATGTTTAGGGAACCTTTTCTAGTCCCCTCTCCATATGGGTGACCAGGGTGGCTCCTCGAAAGAACTGCTCAGTCGCACAGACAGGACCGGATTGCACTGCTGCCTAGATCCCAGTGCATAAACGGCCATCTTATCTGTGCTGCCCATCTACAGAGTTGTGACTAGAGACTCCCAGCAGTCATCTCTGTCTGTCCTCGTCTCCACACGTCCGTACCCATAAGGCTTTTGGGGTATAGGGGTTTAGAAGATGATGAGGAATCTGATGAGCTGAATGATGGCTGCACGTAATTTGATTTATGTGGTGACACAGGAGCACAGGCTGCAGCTACGCATCCTGGATCTCCCTTTTCCTGATCTAGTAGTACAAGTGTTGCAATGACTGGGAGAGAGAGAGTTGCAATGGACTGCCGATAACCCAGTTTGTTGGGCTTAGCCTTAGTCGTCTGTCCATCAGGTATTGCCTTCATCCGCCGGTGTAGTCGTTGCGTTCCCGTGGTGGTTATATCTTCCGCCTATACCGCCGTTGGGGTCTTATTGGAGCTCTGTAAGCATGTCTGCCTGATGTGGGGGTCCACACCTGTAGTCTTGCACCTACCAAGGTTAATCAGTAAGGCAGCGGTACAGTGATTGGTAGGCGACAGGATGTGTCCACATGCCAGTGGGCCTATGCGCCATCCCTCTGAGGCCCACCCCTACTCCGATATCCCCTGCTGATTTAGCCTGGGCTCACGAGGCACCCATTTACCGTGTGTTGCCACGAGGAGGCACAGCAGGAGTCTTGATGGTGAAAAGGCTGTGTACTGGCAGGGGAAGACTTATGCAAGTTGCTTCCCTGTTCGCCATACGGGCTATCCAACAGCGGTAACTGAAAGCGAGAGGAAGCAATCAGTGCTTGTGCACTAACTTGATACTGCCACAGTAGAAGCATTACTCGCCCCTGTGCACACACACACACACCCACACAGTTAACCAGTGTGTTCACTCCCTACCAATCTTACTTTTACACTATTGAACGACCCCCCCTCCCCCACCCCTTTTTATTATATAGCACATTTGTACCATTTATGCTACTGGCATATTGTTTGTCAATCAAGTGACCCATTCCCAAATTATATAACTATATATTTTCAGCCTTTTGGCTGCCATTTGTACAAAGAAAAAAATTAACTTAGTGATACTTGTATACAGGCAAAAAGTTACTTAGTGATACTTGTATACAGATAAAATCTTACTTAGGGTTACTTGTATACGGAAAAAAGGTTACTTTTTGTTACTTGTATAGAGATAAAATGTAACTTCGTGATATTTGTATACCGATAAAAAATAATTTAGTGTTACTTGTATACAGATAAAAAGTTACTTAGTGATCCTCGTATATACACAAATGTACTTAACGCATCCAGTACGACGTTATTACCCTGATTATAAACAATTAATACACTGATGAAGATAGAGAGAACAATAATAAAAAAGTTCAAGTAGTGTCTTAATATCTTACTGTATTGTCCGATATCTAGAGTTATTTACATTATTATGCTTTTACCTGTGGAACCGTATTATCGATCAAGATTCTATTTTTTTCTGTTTTTGTATTTCTTGACGGGTGTTTGTACGTCTGTTTGTATAATTAAGTGAATCAGCAGGTATATGCGGTTGGCGTGTACCAGGGTGAGCGATGTCGTCCAGCTAATCTCACCCCTTAGCTCTCTTCTATAACATTCCTGTCGAAAGCCAAATGTATTTATTGCCAACACATTTCTTTCTGGGATCAGCAGTGACATAAGCAAGTTTGCGGATGACACCAAAATAGGGCTGCAAATTAATTCAGGGCAGGATGCAAATGCATTACAGGAGGATCTAAATAAACTGCAGGGGTGGTCTGAAAAATGGCAAATGAAATTCAACACCAGCAAGTGCAGCGTACTTAATATTGGAAGAACAAATACTTATAATGTATACAGCCTTAACAACATCAACCTAGAGAAATCGACTTGTGAAAGAGACCTAGGGGTACTTGTAAGCCCGGACCTACGGCCTAGAAAACAGTGCGTTAATGTTCGAAATAAGGCAAACAGAGTATTGGGTTTTATATCTAGAAGTGTAAGTAACAAGAGTGCAGAGGTCTTATTGCAACTATATCTTGCGCTAGTTAGGCCGCACCTCGATTATGCGGTTCAGTTCTGGTGCCCCTATTATAGAATGGATATAAATTCACTAGAGTCGGTGCAGCGAAGAATGACAAAAATGATTCCGGGAATTAGAAACCTTCCATATCAGGATAGGTTAAAGAAACTTAACTTGCATTCCCTAGAAAGACGAAGAGTGCGGGGAGATATGATAGAAGTATTTAAGTGGGTGAAAGGAATCAATAAAGGGGATATAGATAAAGTTCTTATAATATCCGAGCAGGATAGGACTCGGAGCAACGGATTCAAGTTGGATAAGTCTAGGTTTAGGAGAGAGATAGGAAGAAACTGGTTCACAAATAGGATGGTGGACGAGTGGAACAAGCTTAGCAACTTTGTAGTAAGTGCGGGATCTCTGGAAAGTTTCAAAAGGAGGCTAGATAGATTCATGGATGATAGAGAGTGGTAGTAACTCTCGAAAGGAGCTGCCATGCACAGGCCAACCGGCCTATTGCAGACTCCTTATTTTCTTATGTTTTCTTATGTTCTTATTCCAGCATCCGTCTTCGTCCATTCATACTCACCTTTTTCTTAGTCTATTGTTATAATATCGTAGCGTGAGTCTAACCTCGACCCCAGAGGTGTTCTAATCCAAACACTCCACTAGCTACTGCACAGTCTGCCAATGAATACACAATAAGGAAACCCTTTAACACCCTCCTCAGTATTTGATGAGAGGGGAATCCGAAATAATCTAGATAAAATTAAATCATCGCAAGGTGTTCTGTGGCTATCGCCTTGACAGGTTAAAAACCTCTCTATCATCTTTTATTTCTCGTATCTCGTGATAGCGGAACTTCCCTCCTCTTCTTAGCACCTCCTCATTTTATAAACTTCAACTGCTAGGGCGGCCCAGGTACATCCTCACACCCGGGATCAATATTAGACTTTCTGGAAGAAGCGTCATAACTAATGCCTATGATTCATAAGCTCGGTACAGTGTCACTTCCCTCGACTATTTCCCTACAATTTTACTATATAGAGGTAGACAGTAAAAGGTGATAAAAATATAATATACTGATAGCTAAACTCTTATTAATCAGACCACGAAGAAATAAAAGAAAGTGATAAGTTAATCACAAATATTTAAACAAATAGAAAATAAGCTAACAAATAAGTGATAAATACTTTAAATTACTTAATAGCATAAAGACACGAACAAACACAATATTCCTTACACATACACACGAAAAAAGAGGTACTAACAATGGTCTTACTCACAGGACGAGAAGAACCAAATCCTGACGACCAACTGCTGGCTGACGCAGATCTGGACGGATGCTCACCTCACCTGGAATGCCTCAGACTTCGGCGGCATTCAGGTCATCAGAGTACCTTACCAGAGAGTGTGGAAACCAGATATCATACTCTACAACAAGTGAGGCCATACTCTTCTTTCTTTTTTTCTCTCTCCCTTCTTCTTCTTCGTCTTCTCCTTCTTCTTTGTTTCTTCTTCTTCATCTGTTCCTTCATCTACTCTTTCCCTCTCCCACTGTTAATATGTCGTGAAGAATTTTGTTAATGTAAAATTTCCCCTATCATTTAATTTGCTGATGTCATTATCGTGTGCGTGTGTGTATGTGTGTGTGTGTGTTTTGTAATGGTCAACATGCTAGCTTTGCAAGCTAGTCGACCCGGGTTCGATTCCTGTGCAAGCTGGAACTAGAGCAGGTTTCTTTACGCGATTTGCATCTGTCTACCCAACAGTAATTGGGAACCTGGATGTTAATCGATTCTCGGATCGTATTCCGGGTAAATGGTTAGCCAGTGCAGTTAACGAGATGTACGGTATTCTCGGACTATTCTTTGACACTGGGTCATGCATCTCGTCAACTTAGAGTATGGTTGATGTGTTGGCGACAACTTCAACACCTTAAGGCAAACAGAGTATTAGGTTTTACATCTAGAAGTGTAAATAATAAGAGTGTGGAGGTCATATTGCAACTATATCTTGCGCTAGTTAGGCCGCACCTCGATTCTGGTGCCCTAATTATAGAATGGATATCAATTCACTGGAGTCGGTGCAGCGAAGAATGACACAAATGATTCAGGGACTTAGAAATCTTCCATATCAAGTTGGATTAAAGAAACTAAACGTGCATTCCCTACAAAGACGAAGAGTGCGGGGAGATATGATACAATTATTTAAGTGGGTGAAGGAATCAATAAAGGAGATATACTGTAGATAAAGCTCACATAATACCCCAGCAGGATAGGACTCGTAGCAATGGATTTAAGTTGGATAAGTTTAGTTTTAAGAAGGAGATAGGAAGGAACTGGTTCACAAATAGGGTGGTAGACGAGTGGAACAAGCTTAGCAACTTTGTAGTAAGTGCTTGGACGCTGGAAAGTTTTAAAAGGAGGTTAGATAGATTCAAGGATGATAGAGAGTGATAGTGACTCTCGACAGGAGCTGCCAGGCACAGGCCAACCGGCCTATTCCAGACTCCCTATTTTCTTGTGTTCTTATGCTTAACAAATTAACGAAGAGGTGCACCTCGTGCTGGCCACCCTCATCCACGAGGAGCAGCCCTATATATATATATATATATATATATATATATATATATATATATATATATATATATATATATATATATATATATATATATATATATATATATATATATATATATATTTCATGTAGATCCACAATGAAAACGTGGATAAGATAAATCTCGATAAAATCACACGGGAAAAGGGAAACAACGGAGCACCTTAGCTTTCATCTTTATTCAAGATATCTTCAGAGGCAACTGGATTACATGGACAGAGAGAGGCTTAAATATACAGGGTGACCTTATTAAACATGAGGTCAGGTCATAATGATGTCATCAACAGGTATAGGGAGGCGCTGGGGAAGATTAGAGATAGGGGAGGGATCCCGATAGTATATGGTGTCTTGCCTAGAAGAGGGGTTGGTCGTGAATGGCTGTCTAGGGCAATTGCTATAAATTGCCGACTGGAAAAACATTGTGCAAACAATGGTTGGGCATTCATTGATAACTGGCAACGATTCTATGGCAACGACTACCTGTACTGTCGCGACGGAGTACACTTGTCTCGTGAGGGAGTAAAGACGTTGTCTGCATCCCTGGAGGGTGAAATTGTCACTCAGAAGGGAGGGTTTCGCCAGTAGAGAGGGGTCGGGGAAAGTGGGAGTCAAAAAACAAGCAGGTCCTGGGAAGTAAAATTAGTTGCTCAGGACAAGGGCGTAAAACAGGACCAGGGAAGAGTAGGTTTAAATGTATACTATACAAACAGTAGGAGCGTTAGAAATAAAATAGACTTGCTGAGAGCGGTTGTATGTACCGAGAATGTAGACGTCATAGCAATCACCGAAACTTGGATGAATCTGGCGAGCAAAATTTTTTTATCAGAGTACCACATAGAAGGGTACAACCTTTTTCACAAGGACAGGGAAGGTAGGAAGGGGGGAGGGGTCGCACTCTTCGTCAAGGATACATTAAAATGTTGTACTAATAATTCAATAAAGGGTGAAATAGGAACCGAGTCTGTGTGGGTAGAAATCACGGAAGGAAGAGAAAAACTAATTATGGGAGTGATTTACAGGCCCCCAAGTCTTGGCAAAGAAGCAGCTCAGCCCATATGGCAGGAAATGAGTAGGGCAGAAAAATATAACAACCTATGCATTATGGGGGATTTCAACTTAAGAAATAATGACTGGGACAACATTGTAGGAGACTATGAATCTAAAGACTTCCTAGATGCAGTACAGGAAAAATTTTTGAAACAACTAATTACAGAACCTACTAGAGGTGACAATATATTAGACCTAGTATTAACAAATAAAGAAAATATTATCAGAGATATCACAGTAGGGGAAGAACTAAGTAACAGTGATCACAGAGAAATCAGGTTCACCCTAAATTGGGAAACGAAAAACAATGACAATATGGTCAGAGTCCCAAACTTTCGGTTGGCGGATAATTATCAGGGGTTAAGAAGGTACCTAGGTGAGGTCACCTGGGAACAGTCACGTCAGTTCCCAGTAGGAACGGGTGAGGTCATAGATGACACAACAATTGATCATGACTATAATATATTCACTAGTATACTACATAAAGCACAATAACAAAATATACCATACAGAAAAATTAGGTCAAATAAGAATGAGCCAAGGTGGATGACCAGAAAACTTAAACATGACATAGGAATAAAGAAAGGAATATATAAGAAATTAAAGGGAGGGGAGGAGCAGCTCAGAAACTGGTATGATGAACTATCTAGGAATGTTAAGAAAAATGTAAGGAAAGCAAAAAGAGACTATGAAATCAAAATAGCAAGAGAATCCAAGGCAAATCCCAAGGGATTTCTCCAGGTATATAGGACAAAGGTCAAGGAAAAAGTTGGGCCTTTAAAGTCAGGGAGGAGAGAATTGATATATGGCAGTGGAGAAATAAGCAAAGCATTGAACAGCTACTTCTTATCAGTTTTCACAGAAGAAATTTGCGATGAAATTCCGGAGGTGGAACTGATATTTAAGGGAAAGGAAGAAGAGAAATTAAAGAATATCACTATCAGAAAAGAGGATGTTCTTAAGAAGATAAATAAACTAAAGAATACAAAATCCCCAGGGGCGGATGAAATTTTCCCTCGAGTCTTAAAAGAGTGTAGTGAACAGATTAGCGGACCCCTCGTAAATTTATTTACAAAATCATTAGACACTGGAGTTGTGCCAGAGTTGTGGAAACAGGCAAATGTAGTACCCATATTCAAAAAGGAGGACAGAGCATCAGCGTCAAATTACCGGCCGATCAGTTTGACGTCAGTAGTGGGGAAATTTCTTGAATCAATTATAGCAGATAGCATCCGATCGCATCTAGAGAAAAGCAAATTAATCTACGACTCTCAACATGGGTTTACAAAGGGACAATCTTGTCTAACAAATCTGCTAAGGTTTATTAGGAAAGTCTTCGAGGTAGTAGATAATGACAAAAATTACGATGTTATTTACTTAGACTTTAGCAAAACATTTGACAGAGTACCGCATCAGAGGCTTCTGAAAAAAGTTAAGGCTCATGGTATCGAGGGGAAAGTTTTAAATTGGATAAAATCATGGCTCACCGATAGAACGCAGAGGGTCAGCGTAGATGGTGTTAAATCTGAGTGGGGCCGTGTAACCAGTGGGGTTCCCCAGGGGTCAGTACTAGGCCCACTCTTGTTCATAATCTACATAAACGATTTAGATACTGGGATCAGCAGTGACATAAGCAAATTTGCGGGTGACACCAAAATAGGGCTGCAAATAAATTCAGGGCAGGATGCAAATGCATTACAGGAGGATCTAAATAAACTGCAGGGGTGGTCTGAAAGATGGCAAATGAAATTCAACACCAGCAAGTGCAGCGTACTTTATATTGGAAGAACAAATACTTATAATGTATACAGCCTTAACAACATCAACCTAGAGAAGTCGACTTGTGAAAGAGACCTAAGGGTACTTGTAAGCCCGGACCTACGGCCTAGAAAACAGTGCGTTAATGTTCGAAATAAGGCAAACAGAGTATTGGGTTTTATATCTAGAAGTGTAAGAAACAGGAGTGCAGAGGTCTTATTGCAACTATATCTTGCGCTAGTCAGGCCGCACCTCGATTATGCGGTTCAGTTCTGGTGCCCCTATTATAGAATGGATATAAATACACTAGAGTCGGTGCAGCGAAGAATGACAAAAATGATTCCGGGACTTAGAAACCTTCCATATCAGGATAGGTTAAAGAAACTTAACTTGCATTCCCTAGAAAGACGAAGAGTGCGGGGAGATATGATAGAAGTATTTAAGTGGGTGAAAAGGAATCAATAAAGGGGATATAGATAAAGTTCTTATAATATCCGAGCAGGATAGGACTCGGAGCAACGGATTCAAGTTGGATAAGTTTAGGTTTAGGAGGGAGATAGGAAGAAACTGGTTCACAAATAGGGTGGTGGACGAGTGGAACAAGCTTAGCAACTTTGTAGTAAGTGCGGGAACTCTGGAAAGTTTCAAAAGGAGGCTAGATAGATTCATGGATGATAGAGAGTGGTAGTAACTCTCGACAGGAGCTGCCATGCACAGGCCAACCGGCCTATTGCAGACTCCTTATTTTCTTATGTTCTTATGTTCTTATCCACTAATCCCCACACCAACACACACGTAGAGGAGGTAAAAAGAAGGGAACGACGTGACTAGTCAGGTCAGGTCAAAAATATGGGACCCACTAAATAACTATCCTACATCTAGATCAAAGGTTTTCAAAGCATTTTTAACCTTGGGCCACTGACAAATAAATTTATGTAACATATTATCAGTTTTGAACTGACCATCACTAATGTTTATTGATTTAATTCCCTCATCAAACTAGCTTCAACCATAAGTCT